GTCCCTCAGTAACAATTCTGTGTCTGTCCCTGAGTAACAATTTTGTGTCCCTGAGTAACAATTATGTATCCCTCAGTAACAATTCTGTGTCCCCTGAGTAACAATTCAGTGTCTGTCCCTGAGTAACAATTTTGTGTGTCCCTAAGTAACGTTTCTGTGGTCCCTAAGTAACGGTTCTGTGTCCCTAAGTAACAATTCTGTGGCCCTAAGTAACGTTTCTGTGGCCCTAAGTAACGTTTCTGTGGCCCTAAGTAACGTTTCGGTGGCCCTAAGTAACGTTTCTGTGGCCCTAAGTAACGTTTCTGTGGCCCTAAGTAACGTTTCTGTGGCCCTAACTCTGTCCCTAATACAGAGAGGTCTGCCTCTCTTGAATGACTGGAGGCTAATGGCGAATTCTAAAATGGCCGCCATTTATAGCTCGACCATTACACAGTGCTGGCTGGCTGGCTGCTGATTGGCTAATGCGATCACATGTCATGAATGAATGCATTATGGGTCAGCGCGCCTTGTCTGCGCGCCTTCCCCGCTCCGTCGCCGCACATGTCGCCGCCATTTTAGGAAAAAATTTTGATTCGCGCATCCGAAGTATGCTAATTTTCGGATTTCGGCGCGAATCAAAATTTTTCTAATATTCGAAACAAATTCCACTTCGCCTACTTCGATTCGCTCATCTCTAATCTCTACCTTTCTATATGATGAGAATAAAGTATTGTACGATTTTTCATCAGATCTGTACACGATCATGTCATTGACACATATGTGTTTGTTCTTCCGTCAGACTTTTAGCAATTACAAATCCCCCCCCCCCCCCATATCACATCCAGAATATTGAAAGGTCTCAGAAATCTGTACAATGAATCGATAGAGGAAATATTACATATCTGAAGAATCAAATGTGTTTCTCTTTGTAAAGCACCCATTAACCCTTTCATTATTCGGGGCTCAGATTGGCCACAATCGTTACAAGCGCATTGCGATCACCGACATGTTTATGTCACTCAGACTTAGAATGCAAAATCCGGCATTCCGAACCAGATCCATCCCGATTACTGATCACACACTTATAATCAGATGATTGGACAGATTCATTGGTGAAATTGCCGAACTATATCTATACATGACGTCATCCTGTTATATAGAATGACTAAAGAATAGCTCCATCATCCCCCCCTTACTGGAATGAGCGGCAATCCTTCTCCCTCCAGGAGGAGCAGATAGAACCCTGGAGATGATCAATCAATAGCCCTTTGTATGAGAAGGTGGGGGGCCCTGAGAAGGGCCTTTGTGACGATGAAGGGGGGGGGGGGGGTTATGATGATTTAGCCTCCGAATCCGTAGAGAGTGCGTCCCTGCCGTTTGAGAGCATAGACGACATCCATGGCGGTGACGGTCTTCCTCTTGGCGTGCTCGGTGTAGGTGACGGCATCGCGGATGACATTCTCCAGGAAGACTTTCAGCACTCCGCGGGTCTCCTCATAGATGAGGCCGGAGATGCGCTTGACTCCCCCTCTGCGGGCCAAACGTCGGATGGCGGGTTTGGTGATGCCCTGGATGTTGTCCCGGAGCACCTTCCTGTGGCGCTTGGCGCCGCCTTTCCCCAGACCCTTCCCTCCTTTACCGCGACCAGACATGACGATTCTTCTCTGCTGCAAACACGACTGAGCTCTGGGCTGGGCCCGCCTTCCTTTTATAGAGCATTTGCGGACCTGATGGGAACCTTCCTGGGAAGAGGCGGAGTCACACTTATTCATTACACAAAATTGGATTCATTTGTAACCATTATACACATTCTGCGATTTCAAATATATAAATCCATCTCCAGGAGAGAAATCTCTTCATTCTTCTCAATGGTTTTCTATTTCTTCCTCGGAGATTACACAGAAACATTCATCTTTCACATTTCAGAACACAAACCATCATCACCAGTTACTATTGTTAGCAGCAATTTAATATTGATAAATATGACTTGGAAATAAACAACACAAACATTTATACCGATGCCCCACGTTCCTGTTTATAATTCCGCGGGACCTGAAGGGAGACTGATGGAAAGGGGCGGGGTCACAGCCATTCATTCCTCTGCAGAGAATTTCATTGATTTAGACCCTTGTAAACATTTGGATGATTTTTAGTGACTGATTTGGAGGAGGAAACCGATTTGGTTCCTCAGACATGTCATATGTTCTCTCTGGATACATTGTCCGTATTTCTCTGGCAGTCTCCTTATTTCTACCAGTCATTTCACATTTGTTTTTATGAATATTCTGGATGTGATATGGGGGGGGGGGGGGGATCTGTAACTGCTACATGTGTGAAGGAGGGACACATAAATATCGGTCAGTGACATGATCGTATACAGATGTGATCATGGAATCTACAATACTTGTATTCACAATGTGTTTACATGATTCGGTAAATATGGAAATCCATCTCCAGACTCATCAATACATCTACTTGGGATGAAAGCGATGATAATACTTCTCGGATAAATGTCTCATCTGATCAGTTCTCAGGTCGGATTTGGCGGTATAATCGGGCGGAATATTTGTCTGGAACGATCTACACAATCCCAATCGGCGGGCAGAATGTGATGACAGCAATTTGAAATCTGAGCCAATCACAGATGTGGGCGTTGTCCTTCATCAGCCAGTAATGTTTGTCTGACGAGAAGTCCATAGAAATGTATCCGGAGATCTCGGTGTCGATGTTTCTAGTGCAGGAAGTGTTTTCTTGTTCTGTAGACTTTTCATTGATCTCTTCTCTACAACTAAATCAACAGACTAATAACTAGATCTTGTCGGGTTTTGTATTCTGAGGGATTGGAGGGAAAACATAAATCTTAATAAACGTTCTTTATATGAATATTTGCAATGTCCTTATAATGATGTTTGGCTGATCGCAGAGCCTGGAATGAATGGAAGGGTTGATCGATCTTCCCAGATAAAACGGTAAATGGATGCGGTCGGTTCTCCGTATCGGATTTGGCGGTAAGAGGGCGGATTGTCTGTGACGTCACATAGAATTCCGGCGGGAGATTTGAATGAAGCAATTAGAAAGTTGATCCAATGACAGTTATAGACGTTTCCTTCAGATAGTAAAACATCTTTTTTTTTTTTCTACGTGGAGTGTGAAGGAGGTGATGAGATCTGTTCCCTCAGTTGGGAGGATCGTTGTTCGGTATATATTGAACGATCTCTGATCTTCAGGAGAAACTCATCACAACTAAAGGAAGGCGGATAAGATCAGTCCCTGGAATAAGATGTCATTTCCCCAGAGTCTCACACTGAAAGCATTTTCTGTTATAAGTGTATAATTGTCATCATAATTAAAATATATAATATGGTATTATAAAATAATTATAACATGTAAATTATAAAAACAAATTTTTTAAAAAAAGTCAGTTATTTTAGATTTTGTAACAACATATCTTGAGGATAATTGACATGGGGGAAGACACACGCCGCAGGTCTTTAAAAACCGGTTCAGCTCCGCCCTATAGCAGAATTACTACTACAGGGCGGGCTCCCTGCACACAATCATATGTATATATACATGACTTGTGCTCCCGCCCTTGATCGCAGTCCATGGGCACGCTCCTGCCGACCCAGGGGTGCCGTGGTTCCGTGCCCAACTGAGCAATCAGCAGATTAAGGCCAGTGATGTTCAGGATGGATTTGCTGATTGCTCCCTGCCCTATCAGTGATCTTCCTGTACCTTTGGTTACACTTACACAGGTACAGGAAATGATGCAATCTTCTCTCCCTGGGCACATTCCATTCCAGAGAGAGAAGAAAGCAGATCCACGTGGGTCAAAAGCATTACACTTTTACAGTAAAAGCACAGCTAGGTCACATTTATCCCCCTGATCTCCCCCCTGTTAACCCCTTCACTCCCATCAGTATCTTTAGTACAGTTTACAGATTTTTTTACTGATCACTGTATTAGTGTCTCCGGCGACTTCAGCTAGCATTAGCGTCCCACAATGCTGTTGAAGATGAGCTGTAACTGGTCTCAGGGAGCGCCTCTTGGCCAAAGTTCGAGGGGATAAGTTGCTGAAGATCTGTTGTTTGTCCTCTTTGAATTCAAGGGATGTTTTGTTACAGGTGGAGTTGAGCAGGGCCTCTTTACTGGTCACCCCAAGGAATTTGCTAAGAAGCATGGTGAGTATTTTACAGATCTCGATCGTTGCCACAAGTGTTTTGAAAATGAAGAAAGAAAATGAAGGTGGGCATGGCCGGCTGCAGAGGGAAATGGCAGCTCTGTAGGAGAGCTCCGGGAGCCACCGAGATCCGCAGCCTAGCACAGCGAAGTGTGTCAGCGGGGACACCCGCCAACCTCACAGTAAGTCCTCGGAAAGAGGGGGGCATCAAGGAGGCACAATGGGAAGAGGAAAAATAAGGAGGGGCCCCACAAATTAACAGAGTTTTTTACTCCGGCGGGAGGCCCCTCCCCTCAATATGGCGCTGGTCACTGTCCCTCTCCTGAGCTACAGGGACACGTGAGGAGTAGAGATGAGCGAATCGAAGTAGGCGAAGTGGAATTTGTTTTGAATATTGGAAAATTTTCGATTCGTGCCGAATCCGAAAAATAGCATACTTCGGATGCGCGAATCGAAATGTTTCCTAAAATGGCGGCGGACATGTGCGGCGACGGAGCGGGATGTCTGGGAAGGCGCGCAGACAAGGCGCGCTGACCCATAATGCATTCCTTAATGACATGTGATCGCATTAGCCAATCAGCAGCCAGCCAGCCAGCACTGTGTAATGGTCGAGCTATAAATGGTGGCCATTTTAGAATTCTTCATTTGCCTCCAGTCATTCAAGAGAGGCAGACCGCTCTGTATTAGGGACAGAGTTAGGGCCACAGAAACGTTACTAGGGGACAGAGAAACGTTACTTGGGGACAGAGAAAATCATTACTTAGGGACACAGACACAGGGACACAGAATTGTTAGTGAGGGCCACAGAATCGTTACTTAGGGCCACAGAAACGTTAGTTAGGGCCACAGAATTGTTACTCAGGGACAGACAGAATTGTTACTGAGGGCCACAGAATTGTTACTGAGGGCCACAGAACTCACGTTGTTACTCAGGGACACAGAATTGTTACTGGGGGACACAGAATTGTTACTGAGGGCCACAGAACTGTTACTTAGGGCCACAGAATTGTTACTCAGGGACACAGAATTGTTACTCAGGGCCACACAGAATTGTTACTCAGGGACCACAGAATTGTTACTCAGGGCCACAGAATTGTTACTGAGGGCCACAGAATTGTTACTGGGGCCACAGAAACGTTACTTAGGGCCACAGAAACAGACACAGAATGTTACTCAGGGACACAGAATTGTTACTGAGGGCCACAGAAACGTTACTCAGGGCCACAGAATTGTTACTGAGGGCCACAGAATTGTTACTCAGGGCCACAGAACAGAATTGTTACTCTTAGGGCCACATAATTGTTACTCAGGGACAGACACAGAATTGTTACTCAGGGACACAGAATCGTTGAATTAAAGAGTATGTCAGACAACATGCAGAGCAGTGGCAGAGGAGGCAATGTTTTAGGAGCGAGCAGACGTGGCAGCAGAGGAAGGGGTCGAGGCAGCACTATTCGCAGCCAGAGGCCAGTGCTCCCGGTGTCCTCCAGCGGTCGTGTCTCCACCGACAACCCTGCCGTCATCGATTGGTTGGCTCGGTCATCTTCCTCTTCCCAGGTCACCTCTGACACCTACAGCCAACGGTCGGTGGGTACGTCAGACACAACCGTTAGTTGGCATGGCCCGGGAGCAAGCCCACTGAAATCACGTGTCCTCTACCTGCCCCTGTCCTTTGCTGTTCCCTCACCAAGCGAAGTATCGCATGCTGTGGGCTCAGCCCCACTGTACAGTGAGGAAGAGCTAACAGAGGGCGGTCAGGAACGGGGGGAGACATCCGCCTTTTCAGCAGCCAGACGAAGAAGTACTGGCGAGGAGAGTGGCTCGGTAGCCGGTCTAGAGACAGGTCTGTCTCCTGACCCACACGCAGCCGAGGGGGCTAGTAGTGAGGCGGAGACCCTACTTGATGATGAGGAGGTTGATCGCACTTGGCAGCCTCGTCGTCATCAGGTAATTTCTTCCGCATCATCAGGAGAAGAGGGTGCCAGCTTGGCAGCGAGCAAAAACAGTCGGTGGGTTGCCCAGGAGGCAGCAGGGTCGCAGCAGTGTCAGTGGAGCCAAACGGCCACGGAGTACAGCACCAGCTCCACTGCAGCCTACCACCACGGCCAGTAGTGGTGCCGGTGCGCACGGAGGAAGTAGCAGTCAGCCAGTGAGGAGTAGCGGGGGCAAAGTTTCCTACTCGGCGGTGTGGCAATTTTTCATCAAGCCGCCCGAGGAAGTAAACGTAGCCGTATGTCGACTATGTGGCCAGAAATGCAAGCGTGGCCAGGGGGCCCATGTTGGGACTACAGCGTTGCGTCAGCATATGCAGCGTCACATTCGGTGGCCTGGGAAAACCGTGATAAAGATACGGCGGTTCTGCCTGCCCCAGCCCCCGCTCCATCACCCGCTCCGTTACTTGCTCCGTCACCCGACGTCAATCGCCCTCTATCAGCCAGTCAAGGCTCCAACCTCTGCTGAGGGGAGTTGTCGCTCGTTGGCATCTTCCGCTCGTTCAGATGCTCCTTCTCCTGCTACTCCTCTTCACGGATTCCGTCAGCAGTCTTTCTTGGAATCCGTTTCCAAGAGACAACAGTTTGCGAGCACGCACCCGACGGTGCAAAAGCTGAACGTCCTCCTGTCCAAGTTGCTGGTGCTGCAGTCCCTCCCTTTCCAAGTGGTGGACTCAGCACCTTTCCGAGAAATGATGGCTTGTGCCGCGCCGCGGTGGAGAGTGCCAAGCCGTCATTTCTTCGCCCAAAAAGCAGTGCCAGCCCTGCATTCACATGTAGAAGAGATGGTGGGCCAGTCTTTGAGCATGTCGGTCTCTGCCAAAGTGCACGGCAGCGCCGACGTGTGGAGCTGTAACTACGGTCAGGGACAGTACATGTCATTTACGGCCCACTGGGTGAACGTGGTGCCGGCACAGCCGCACCAGCAACTTGGACAGGTCACGACGCTTTTGCCTCCACGTTTGCACGTCCTTGGTCCAGCAAACATGTCCGCCTCTACCACCTCTTCTTCCGCCGTGTCCTCAGCCGCCACCCCCGTGCCAAGTCCCATTACCCGACCGGCATATATCACATGTGCAGGGCGCAACGGTGTCACGCTGTGCTGCACCTGGTATGCCTTGGCGAACGTAGTCACACAGGGGAGGAACTGCTGAGTGTAATGAACAGAGAAATCGACAGATGGCTGTCTCCGCGCAAACTGAAAATCGGAACCATGTTGACCGACAACGGAAAGAACATGGTGTCTGCTCTGCGTCAAGGAAGGTTGTGCCATGCGCCATGCATGGCTCACGTGTTCAATCTGGTTGTCAAGCGGTTCCTAAAATCCACCATCCCACTGCAAGACATCCTTAAAATGTCACGTAAACTTGCATGCATTTCAGCCATTCCTACACCGCAAAGCACACCCTCCTTGAGCTGCAGCGGCAGAACGGAATTCCACAGCATCGCCTGATCTGCGACGTTGCAACAAGGTGGAATTCAACCCTACACATGTTAGACCGCCTTTACGAGCAGCGAAAGGCCATCACCGATTTCCTGATGTTACAAGCGGATAAAGGTACTCCCCTGTGTAACTTCGATGTCAGCCATTGGCAGCTCATGCGTGACACCTGCCGCTTGCTCAGGCCCTTTGAGGAGGCCACGCTATTCGTGAGTCGGCAGGACTATGGGATGAACGACGTCATTCCTCCTCTGTTGCACGTCCTGGAACAAATGCTGTTAACAATGGCTGGTCAGGGTGCGGTAGACGTGGCGCACAGATCTCAACGCCACATGACCCCTGTGGGGGCAGGACAGGAAGAAGAGGAGGAGGTAGAGGAGGACATTTGTGCTCAGGAATTATTGAGTGAAATGGGTGGTTTTTCCACTCAGCGGACAGGAGTGGAGGAGCAGGAGCATCTGGGAGAGGAGGAGGAGACAGAGGACCCAGACGCACCGTGGCAGTATGCTGTGGAGATGGAGGCAGGGAGTCCCTCGCATTCCTTGGCACAAATGGCCCATAGCATGCTCGGTTGCTTGCGTAGCGACAGCCGAATAATAACCATCAGACAGAGGGATGACTTTTGGCTGTCCACCTTGTTGGACCCTCGCTACCGTTCCAAAATGGTGGCCTTTTTCACACCTGCTGAGAGGGAGGCCAAAATAACGTACTATAAAAACCACCTATGTAGTCAGCTGGTCTCTGCCTTTCTGCGCCAACGTCCATCCTCAGACACTGTGGGCCCTGTGCGCTCGCGTTCCGCTGCCATGGCAGCAGGGGAGGGGTGGGGTGGTAGGAGCAGTGGCAGCTCCACCAGCAGCGGCTGCCTCAGTCTGCAGTCGATGATGAGTAGCTTTCTTCACCAGCGCAGTGAGGAAACTACTAACCAGCCGCAGCAGCAGCAGCATCAGGTGGACCTGGAGCAGGAGCTCAAACAACAGGCTTGGGCCTACTTGGACAGCACCCTGCCAACCGAGGTAGACAATCCCCTTGACTACTGGGCAACGAAACTTGACCTTTGGCCCCAACTAGCTGAATTTGCCCTTGAAAGGCTGTCATGCCCGGCCAGTAGCGTGGCATCGGAGCGCGTGTTTAGTGCGGCAGGAGGTATTGTAACTCCGCGGAGGACACGACTGTCCACCCAAAGTGTGGAGAGACTCACGTTTGTGAAAATGAATCAGGCGTGGATTAGTCTGGATTTCAAACCACCAGTTCCTGACACAACTGACTAAATCCGCCATGAATCATGCCCCAAACATGTGCCACTTTCAGGTCTCCTCACACACTGCTGGTGTGTTCCATTTTTTGTCATAGGGTGCTGGCAGATTACGGGCCTCCCATAGCTGCTGCCAGGCCCCTAATCTGCCATGGGCCCCTATACCGCCTCCTCATGCTGCTGCCAGGTCCACAGTCTCTCATGGGTCCCTGTACGGCCTCCCATTGCTGCTCTCCATGCCATCTGCCATGTGCCACTTTCAGGTCTCCTCACACTGCTGGTGTGTTTCATTTTTTGACATAGGGTGCTGGCAGATTACGGGCCTCCCATAGCTGCTGCCAGGCCCCTAATCTGCCATGGGCCCCTGTACCGCCTCCTCATGCTGCTGCCAGGTCCACTCTCATGGGTCCTGTACCCTCCCATTGCTGCTGTCTCCATCGCCACACTCTGCCATGTGCCACTTTCAGGTCTCCTCACACTGCTGGTGTGTTCAATTTTTTGTCATAGGGTGCTGGCAGATTACGGGCCTCCCATAGCTGCTGCCAGGCCCCTAATCTGCCATGGGCCCCTATACCGCCTCCTCATGCTGCTGCCAGGTCCAGAGTCTCTCATGCCATGTGCCACTTTCAGCCACACTCTGCCATGTGCCACTTTCAGGTCTCCTCACACACTGCTGGTGTGTTCAATTTTTTGACATAGGGTGCTGGCAGATTACGGGCCTCCCATAGCTGCTGCCAGGCCCCTAATCTGCCATGGGCCCCTATACCGCCTCCTCATGCTGCTGCCAAGTCCAGAGTGTGTCATGGGTCCCTGTACGGCCTCCCATTGCTGCTGTCTCCATCGCCACACTCTGCCATGTGCCACTTTCAGGTCTCCTCACACTGCTGGTGTGTTCAATTTTTTGACATAGGGTGCTGGCAGATTACGGGCCTCCCATTGCTGCTGCCAGGCACGTAATCTGCCATGGGCCCCCGTACCGACTCCTCATGCTGTGACGTTGCAACAAGGTGGAATTCAACCCTACATATGTTAGACCGCCTTTACGAACAGCGAAAGGCCATCACAGATTTCCTGATGTTAAAAGCGGATAAAGGTACTCCCTGTGTAACTTAGATGTCAGCCATTGGCAGCTCATGCGTGACACCTGCGCTTGCTCAGGCCCTTTGAGGAGGCCACGCTATTCGTGAGTCGGCAGGACTATGGGATGAACGAGGTCAAATCTGCCATGGGCCCCCGTACCGCCTGGTCACGCTGCTGCTGGTCCCACAGTGTGACCTGGGTCCCTGTACCGCCTCCCATTGCTCCCACTCTGCCATGTGCCACTTTGAGGTCTCCTCACACTCCTGCGGTTTTTCCATTTTGTCATAGGTTGCTGGCAGATTACAGGCCTCCCATAGGTGCCGCCAGGCCCCAAATCT